AATGCATCAACAATCTTATCCGACACTGCTCTGTATAGCCAAAATGCTATCAAAATGTGTTATCATGTAGTGAAGACTTCTACAATAAGTACCTGGGTAGGGGCATATGTACTTTTAGATATATTATAAGTACTTTATAGGAATACGAGGAAGCCCAGTGATTCGAATACACAATAAACATACCATTTCCCAGCCCTCTAGTCTGATTATGAGCGAAAATATACAAACTTAGACCAGCGAAAAGTCGCCCATGCGGGAGGCCAATCATATTTGGTAATACAACCTTGGAATCCAAGAGCTTCCAGGCTCGATCTGCGCTTCTTTCTCCGAACTGCTACCAAAGATTTTGTGCTTCCTTAAAATCCCCATCTCATTGATCAAAATTAGTCTCATACGATTTAATTGATCTAAAACCCAATCCTATACAGACAATTGACCCCTCATATGGATAATGCCGCTGAGCACAGCAACGGCTCTTCAGCCGGTGCTGAACCCTTGAGACCTGCAGAACCCAACCTTTCGTCGCCTTTACTTGATATGGACTCCGATTACAACGATCAGACGCCCACAGGGCCCGTCCTCGAACCCCCATTGGCTTCGACTAAGCCTACGTCACACACAAAATCGACACAAAATCAATCAGGAAAAGCCGATTCGGGCTTTGATCCTCGCTCCGGCAGTCGGATGGGACAATCTACACGCCCCTTAAGCCATGCACCTAGAAGGTTCAGTGGAAGCACAGCTGCCAGTACCGCTGCAAGCTCGATCTATGAGGCGGAATCTGGCTCCCTCAAGCCATGGAGGATCGGAGTCTGTGCCTTGGATGTGAAAGCACGTAGCAAACCGAGCCAGAATATCTTGACTCGACTGCAATCGAAAGGCGAATTTGAGGTGATTGTTTTTGGAGACAAAGTTATCCTCGATGAAGCAGTCGAGAATTGGCCTGTGTGTGACTTCTTGCTCGCTTTCTTTTCCGATGGATTCCCCCTGGACAAAGCCATTGCGTATGCTAAGCTTCGAAAACCGCTATGTGTTAATGACCTGCCTATGCAAAAGGTCCTGTGGGATCGGCGGCTCTGCCTGATGATTCTGGATCACATGGGTGTTCCCACCCCGAAGCGGATAGAGGTCAACCGCGATGGCGGTCCGGTTCTAGAATCGCCAGAGCTGGCCCAGCATATCTATCACCTGACTGGGGTCAAGCTCGAAGGCCCAGAGAACGGAATTGGTGGTGGTGCTCCTCTGACTCAGAACGTCTCAATGTCCGAGGATGGCGAGGCCTTGATTGTTGATGGCAAAGTGTTCAAAAAGCCCTTTGTTGAAAAGCCTGTCAATGGCGAGGACCACAACATTCACATCTATTTCCCCAACGATGAACATTACGGCGGAGGTGGAAGAAGACTATTCCGAAAGGTCGGCAACAAAAGTTCGGAATATGATCCCAATCTCACTGTTCCAAGATCCATCACCGAGAAGGACGCTAGTTATCTATACGAGCAGTTCCTCAGGGTTGACAATGCGGAAGATGTCAAAGCCTACACCGTTGGGCCAAACTTTTGTCACGCAGAGACGCGCAAGTCTCCCGTCGTCGACGGTCTCGTTCGGCGCAATACCCACGGGAAGGAAATACGATACATCACAAAACTTGGCAAGGAGGAGGCAATAATCGCATCGAAGATTTCAAATGGATTTGGTCAAAGAATCTGTGGCTTTGACATGCTCCGCGTGGGAGATAAAAGCTATGTCATTGACGTCAACGGCTGGAGCTTCGTCAAGGACAACAATGATTATTACGATAAGTGTGCCAACATCCTCAGGGATATTTTCCTAGAAGAAAGACGCAAATGCGAAGGGATATCGGAATCCTCCGAGCCGCCATCACCGGATTTAGGCTCATCCAGAAGGAGCACGGCAGGATCTCATCGCCAAGCTCTAAAGACATTGCTGAAGTCTCCTAGCAACTCCAGGCTTTACGGCCAAACCCAGAAACCCACCGAGGTTTCAGAGTCACGTCGTCCATCACTGGCGTCATCTGGGGTAGAGAGTGCTGATATTGGCGCTGCTCTCAGCAAGCTGAATTCCCGGGAAGGCTACTCCTCTAATCATGGTCCCTCGAACACAAAATCGCCGGCTCTTTCGGTACAGCACGCCAATGACGAAGCCCTTCCGCCTCTTCCTGCTTCTAAACACTCTTGGAAGCTGAAGGGCATGGTGGCAGTGATTCGACACGCAGATCGGACCCCAAAGCAAAAGTTCAAGTTCACTTTCCACAGCCAACCTTTCGTTGACTTGCTGAAAGGGCACCAGAATGAGATAGTGATTAAGGGGGAAACCGCATTGGCCAGTGTTTCTGATGCCGTCAAGGTGGCTATGGAGAAGGGCTTAGAAGACAAGGAGAAGCTCAAGTTGCTCCGCGCATCTTTAGACAAAAAGGGAGGTTGGCCTGGTACCAAAGTGCAGATCAAGCCAATGTTCCGGAAACGAAAGCCAGAAGAAATGGGAGAACCTCCAGTGAGAGCTTCAACTCCATTGTCGAAGGGCAAGCTCTATGGAGAGTCCACTACAACTGTGCCCAAAGAAGGGGAGGGACTCACTCCAGAGAACGAGGATTTACGTAGATCACAGTCACGAAGTGATTCTATCTCAGGTGCGACTTTTTCTCGGTTCTCTGCCGCCGAGAACGATTTGATCCTGGACAAACTGCAGCTTGTGATCAAGTGGGGTGGCGAGCCCACACATGCCGCGCGTTATCAATCGCAGGATCTTGGACTGAACATGCGGGATGATCTCAAGCTGATGAACAAGGAAGCGTTGAATAACGTTCGTATATTCACCAGCTCAGAACGTAGAGTGAGCACTAGTGGTAAGTCATTTCCCTTGCCATGATCTGGATCAAGCTAATAATATTCTCACAGCACAAATATGGGCATGCTCCTTTTTGGATCAGAAGGATATCCCTGAAGGCTTGATTCAAGTTCGGAAAGATTTGCTTGATGACTCAAATGCCGCCAAGGATGTCATGGACAAAGTCAAGAAGAAGCTGAAATTGCTTTTGCGAGAAGGGTCTGCACCTTCACAATTTGCTTGGCCCAAGGACAAAAATATCCCAGAGCCTTCGGTTGTCCTTGCTAGGGTAGTTGAACTGATGAAGTTCCACCGGAGTGTCATGCGACACAACTTTGAGAAACTCGACAGCTCATCGCAAATCTTCCCGACTCCACCCAATGACCCTGAAACAACCTCCGTGGATCGAGTGGATTCCCCTGATATATCCACCGTACAGGGCCGCTGGTGCGCGGGCGAAGATCCTCGACTCTTTAAGGAGCGGTGGGAAAAGCTCTTTGCGGAGTTCTGTGACACCGAGAAGGTCGACCCGAGCAAGCTTTCCGAGCTATACGACAGTATGAAATTCGATGCACTCCACAATAGACCGTTTTTGGAATGGGTCTTCATGCCACAGGACAGTACCCGTGACTACGATGAAGAACAGAGAAGCAATAGCGTAACAAAGCCAGACGCAAGCGCAGAGGGGAAACTTGACCAGGAAGCCGGGAACGACAAATCCGAGGATCGCACCGAAAGCCAGACGTTTGCTCATCGCTTTGGTTTGAAGAAACGCGTCCTTGCCCCCGAGTCACTGCCGCACCTTCGGGCACTAGATGATTCATACGATCATTACTTCAAGCTTTTCCCTGGCTCCCAATCCACCAAGTCCAAGATGGATGAGCGGCTTTCGAAGCTCCGGGAACTATACAAGCTAGCCAAGGTTTTGTTCGACTACGTGACTCCCCAGGAATATGGAATCACCGACAGCGAGAAACTCGAGATTGGCCTTCTAACATCTCTTCCCCTCCTTCAGGAAATTGTTCGAGATCTAGAAGAGGTGCAAGCTTCGCAGGATGCCAAATCCTTCTTCTACTTCACCAAGGAATCTCATATCTACACTCTCTTGAACTGCATCTTGGAAGGTGGAATCCAAACTAAGATTGCTAGGAGTGCCATCCCAGAACTCGATTATCTCTCTCAGATTTGCTTTGAGCTGTACGAAGCTCGGGACAGTGAATCGGACTCTTACTCTTACTCCATCCGCATATCAGTCAGCCCTGGTTGTCATGCCTTCGACCCGCTTGACGTGCAACTCGATTCCAGGCATTCCATCGGCTGCACCCCGCGCCGAAGCCTGACAGCCCACCAGGATTGGAAGGAGGTGATTGAGACGTTGAAAGCGAAATTCAACACGTAAGTTGTATGCTACCTTAACCCCCTGAATTGTTACTGACCACTGCATGCAGTGTGGAACTACCCAAGACCTTCATTGCGGTAAACCTCAGTGACAAGCATAGCTCTCATGAGACTTCACCGACACCCTCACGTGGTATTTCCCCAACTCAGGACTGAGGTCGATATCTCGGGGAACATTGTATTTGTGATGGCCTTTTTTTTGCTTTATTTCGTGATTGGCATATTTGGATTTCATTGATTCTTGTGTACCTCTGTCTTGTCGAGGCTGTATCTGTATTATGTATCTAGTAGAACAATGTAGCAAGAAGAATACTAGCAATCTCAAATTGATTACGTCCAACGTTGGACATCTACGTTTCTATATTCCAACGTGCATCCACATCGGACAAGCATTCCTACATTGTATACCAGACTGTCCCATCAGTCGCCCATACCTAGCTCATATATATAGAGTCATTGCTGGTAGTATAAGAGTTCAACCATCTTATTCCCTCACTGTACCTAATGGGAATCATTGATTTGGGTGTCTTGCCTATGTATATGTTGACAAATAATTGACCAAGTAGTTAAGCATTTCAATTTTTACAAAGCGACAGTCAAATAATACATAGTTACATAGTACTTTTCTGCTAGAAAGTCTGTCGTCTTTTTACCCAAGTAGTACGACATGGCTTAAAGTCCGGGTAAGCCGTCAACCCCGCCCTCTCAAGGAACTGTTGATTTCTCTCCCACTACACTACTACTCAGAGATATCAGAGATGTCTGCTCCTTTCCCGGTCGATATAGTTGATCGCAACTTGAAATACACATCTCACGCAGGCGTTGAGTGTTTGATTGAGTTCAACGACATTCTCTGTGTGTTGTCCAATCATGTACCCACGTATAGTGTGCTGTTCTTTCAGAAAACCGAACTGGACGGCGACAAGCCTGAGAACTTCTCCTTGAGAAAGATCGATATCGAGTCCCTGCCTGCAGAACTATCTCCTTTTGTGACCAAGATCCCAAGCCACCTTCGACATGAAGATACACCTGTCATCCAGGTTGTGGTATCGACTGGATCAGGAACCGGGAATGCCAAGACAGTCTTTCAAGATGTTGTACAGCCGCTTCTTGAATATATTGGTCTAGAGAATTACGAGCTCTACGAAACAAAGTCGGCCGAAACCATCATCGAGCTTGCACGCTCGAAATTCTTGGAGCGGGCTCATAATGGCGTCCCTCAGACTATCATCCTTCTTTCTGGCGACGGGGCCCTCATCGACATTCTCGAGATTTTCTACAAATCCAAGACATCGATTGGTGTATCACCCAATATTGTGTTGATTCCTTGCGGGACAGGGAATGCCATGGCAAGTTCCATTGGATTACGATCTGGCCCGGTGCCGGGTCTTTCAACACTACTTCGAGGCAGTCCATCTTCTATACCGGTCTTTGCTGCCAAATTCTCACTTGGCAGTCGGATGGTCATCGATGAAGGTCGTCATCGAGCCGATATCGACACCGATGTTAATCACACATTATACGGAGCCGTTGTTGCGAGCTGGGGACTCCATGCTGCATTAGTCGCCGACAGCGACACGTCCGAGTATCGCAAATTTGGAGCCGATCGGTTCAAGATGGCCGCAAATGAGCTACTTCATCCCTCAGACGGTACTCCACCTCACCAATTCAAAGGCAAAATCACATTAACCACCTTGAATGGTCCGAACGAGACACGCCAACAAGCAGTGGAAGGGCTTGAGCACATGTATGCACTTACTGCACTCGTCCCACGGCTTGAGAAGGACTTCTTGATCTCCCCGGACTCAGTGGCCCTGGATGGACGGATGAAATTTATCCGCTTCGGTCCTATGCCGGCGGAAGATGCAATGCAGTTGATGATCCTAGCCTACCAGGGCGGTCAACATGTGAAGGAAGACACGGTCACCTATGCCGATGTTGAACAGGTTCGAATCGATTTTCAAGAAGAGGAGGAGAGGTGGCGACGCGTATGCATTGATGGAAAGATCGTCGCTGTCGAAAGGAACGGTTGGATGGAAATTTCTAAAGAACCCAGGCGTTTGCTGAACTTGATTAATTAGGCGGAGGTTCATTCAGTTGCGATAGAAACCATGTATTAGCCTAGAACTAAAGAGAGCATTGTATATGGCTATAAACAAGGCCTATGAGTTGTCGATCCTTAAAAGGAATGTGATCATGTGTTTTCCGCCGTCTCCGAGATTGGACCCCGTAAACCACCACACTCCACCCATCCCAGCATATGGGGTGCTCCAGCAAATGATATCGTTGTCTCGCTAGACTCTCTTATCTAGCGCCTTGGAATTTGCTTGATTATAATGGAACTGCCCATTAGATTCGATGCTGATCACTGCGCGCACCTATTCGGCCTCCCAGACCCCAGACCAAGGTGCAGCACAGCCTAGCAATCAAAGGTCGCGTTTTCATACCTTCTCCGGCTGGGAAACAATTCCGGTGGATACAAAGGAACCGACCGACATGTTGTTAATCCATCAAGTTGGTAGTGTCCGTGTTGGGGAAGTCGTTAGGTGAGTCGTTCTTGCTTCTCCAGTCCGAAGTCCTTCTGGATTGCTAATAGTAAACCGACCATCAGATACACGGTTACGTACACTCCGGCGGCCGACCCGATCCTGCCCATCCCTTCAAATCTCTACGTGAGGGTGAAGAACACATCTGCCATCCCACTGCGCGCCGCATACCTCCATGGCCCGTACACGCTATACGCCGCGTGCTATCCCACAAAGTTCGACCCCAACACCAAATATGAGCGACAGGATCTGGAGGGTACACCGCAGTTTGAGCCCTACCTTAAGGCCGGAGGTGGTTGGGACGCCGTCATCAAGGTGCCGGCTAACCTCCAGGAAGCACACGACTTTGGCTCTCCGGGTCAAGGTGGACCGGCAAGTGGACATAGCGTTAGCTGGATTGTTGAGATTCAATCGCAGGTGATATTCTCAAGTAGTGCAGCGGTGCATTTTGAGCTTCTTGTGGGTCGTGATGAAAAGTCGCTGGCATATTCCTCGGGCGGTACATGGAGTAGTGGAAATAGCTCTCCAGGGCCTCCGGCAAAGTTACAAGACCATTGGCTGCCTGGAACTAGAGGTAGTCAGGTGCTTGCCTCGAAAGGCGTGTACTCAAAATCAATCGCTCTTCAAGTTGACGATACAACTAGTCTATGGAGCAGTCCGCCATTCCCCTCAGCGAAGCCTGCTTCCAAAAGCGTTGAACGGAAGAGTCATGACTCGCAACCCGTGTGTGATAATCCAGTACCGGAGGAGTCTACGGAAGCTCCGATGAAAAGCGCCAAAAAGAAGAAGGTGCATCTCGTGTTACTGACACATGGGTTGCACAGCAACCTCGGTGCAGACATGCTCTATTTGAAGGAGAGCATTGACACAGGCATGAGAAATTCCAAGAAGAATAAACGTCAAGCCAGAGATCCCCATGCTAGCCCTGTTGTAGACCGAGAAAACCCGACAAGGTATGGAATTCCTTTCTGAACGTTTAGGTGTCTCAAAATTCTAATCCCGAATTTTCTCAGCAGTAAATCCAGTCATACTGAAGAGCAAAATAGCCAGTCTGGTGATAACTCCGACGATGACGATGAAGAGCAAGTCATTGTTAGAGGGTTCTCTGGCAATGCTGTTCGGACTGAGCGTGGGATTCAATACCTCGGCAAACGGCTGGCCAAATATGTCCTGCTTCTCACATATCCCGATCAACCCTATTTCCCTCTCAGAGGCTCAAAGCCGAGCCCATTTGCCCGGCCTTTTAGTGCTCGCAAGGAGCGAGCTGAACCATTTTCTCATTCGGCTGAATCAACCCCTCAAGAAAATGCCCATGAATTTCAAGATGAAGACCATGCTTACCAGATTACAAGCATTAGTTTCATTGCCCATTCTCTTGGCGGGCTGATTCAGACATATGCAATCGCATATATCCAGAAGCACTCGCCTCAGTTCTTTGAGCAAATCAGACCCGTTAACTTTATTGCCCTTGCAACCCCTTTTCTTGGTCTCAGCAATGAGAATCCAATGTATGTTCGATTTGCATTGGATCTAGGTCTAGTTGGTCGTACCGGCCAAGATCTCGGGTTGAGTTGGACGGCACCGAAAGTTCGAAGTGGCTGGGGTGCCATTATTGCTGGAAGAGGAGAGTCTGCAAAAGACCCCGGCCATTCAGATCCTGGCTCCAAGCCACTTCTTCGGATTCTTCCTTGTGGTCCTGCCTACGAGGTTCTTAAGAAATTCCAGCACCGCACAGTCTATTCGAATGTGGTGAATGATGGGATTGTTCCTTTGCGGACGTCTTCTCTTTTGTTCTTGGACTGGAAAGGTTTGGATCGAGTTGAAAAAGCGAGGAGGGACAATGGACTTGTTGGAACCATGGCCGAATGGGGGTGGGCAGAGTTGACAGGCGCCAACTCGAAATCCCCGCGACTTGCTCGCCACGATGGAGAGTTGCCTTTGAATCTCCCAATGGAGGCCGGTCATCATCATGCATATTCTGCGACCAAGGTTCCCCCAAGGCCCAAAGACGATGTCTCTGACGAAGATACAATCTCCCCGAGGCCGGCACAATTCCTGGCACCATCCAGTCATGTGTCCAGCAACAAAGTTTCAGAGGAAGGTGTTCTGAAAGAAAACATCCCTGGAAATACCTCTCACAGTCCCATGGACAGCTTTTTTTCTCTGTTTCGCCCAACTCAGAACAAGAATCCCCCCAATAGCAAGAATGCTAGAATTTATAAGCGTAGCCAGACCCTGAGCACTTTTGAGACTGGCGACAGCGATAGCACAATGCCCATTAATCATGACCATGACCACGAAGGAATGCACACCCCTCCAAAGACAACATTTTTCGAGTGTGCTGGAGACTTGTTGATGCCGCCTTTACCACCCGCGGAATTCATTTCAGACCCTGCCTCACGACCCCGGACAATCTTCCACGACCGCATCTACCACCCAGAGGATATACCACCCCCTTTACCGGTAAAACGACGCATATTGGCATTTGGTTCGCCACAGGGCAAGCAATCAAACTCTCAGAATCCGCCTGCAGATAAAGAAAGCGGCCTCAAGGTCGAAGAAAAAATCGCGAGAGCCTATCACCGTGATCTGACTTGGCGTAAGGTTCTTGTCCGACTTGAGCCTGATGCCCACAATAACATTATTGTGCGGCGCATGTTCACCAATGCCTATGGCTGGCCTGTTGTGAAGCACTTGGTTGATACACACTTCAGCCACACTCTCACTGCGGAAACCGACGATTCTCTGAAGCAAAATATGGAGATGGCCAAGTCTCCAAATGTTGGTCCGACTAGCTCTGGTGACGAGGTTGAAGGGCAGTCCGATCCTGTCGATCCAAAGTCAATAAGAGATACAGACAATTTGCCAAATGTATCCGATCTCCATATATCGAAAGATGGATCTTCTGGCCCAAGTGATATCTCAAGGGCCGAAGATGAATCGCACATAGGCACCCGTGACAGAAATCTTGTATCGAGTCAGGATTCAGCACGATGGACTGATCGTGAAGTTGTCGAGGATGACAGCGAGTCCGGCTTCGAAGTGAAGACCAACGCTGGTTTCCGTCACATATAGCGCCATTGGTTTCATTGTACATACAGTTTCCTTAGGCATATACCCTGTATTTATGAGAATGTTACATTTGAATTATGACCTCTACTGTCTGTCGTATTCAACTAGTCTGAGAGGATTATGGGCGGGCGATCAATACTTCAATTTACCTTGAACATGGCTCCAAAACTCCTCCACGATCTCCTTTTGTCCAGTTCCGCCTGGAGAACCTCGGACAGCAAGATACTTCCGCCCGTCAAGACGAGCTTCCCAAACCCCGGGGTTTCCATCCGCCATAATGCCGCCGGCTTCAGAGAGGATAACCCACCCGGCGCAGACATCCCAGGACCAACATCCACCCTCCCAATACAGATCCAGCGTGCCCTCAGCCACAGCACATAAATTCAACGCGGCCGAGCCTAAACTCCGCATTGCGCGCACCATAGCCCCACCATTTTCCTTGGACTTACCCAGCTTCTCATACGTCCGAATCTTAGTCTCCCAATTGTTCCCGCTGCGATCTGCGCCCCATTCAATGGCAACGAGAGCATTAGCTAGTCCAGACAGGGGCTCGACATGGTCGCCTTTCAGCGGCAAGCGAGTTTCACGATTGAGGAAAGCGCCCTGGCCTCGAATAGCGGAGTAAAGGGCCTTGGTGGAGGGGTTATACACCACCCCCACCGCGGGAATGCGTCCAACAGCGAACCCGAGCGAAACACAGGCAAATGGAAAACCATGCACGAAGTTCGTCGTTCCATCGATGGGGTCCACGACGAACGTAGGCGCATCGGTCAATGGGCGTGCCGGGTCATACGTTTCCTCGCCGTGGAATCTGAGAGAATACACACCATCAGAAGCATGCTAGCAGCCACGAAGAGAAAACACATACTCGTAATGTGGGTATTTCTCCCGCAGTGAGGTCGAGATCATGTTTTCGACGGCGCGGTCATATTCCGTGACGAGGTCGGCACCTAGAGATATCAGCTGTTTTCCTTTTTCGGTTGTTTGTATGGACACGGACTATTCAGTTTGGATCCTGTGCCGGTGATTTCTGGGAGTGCATTGTTGATGATGTCCCCGGCCTTGAAGGCCAATGAGACTAGGAAATCATGGATCTCGTTGAGGTTTGGGTTCTCCATTATACAATTGAGATATTGAGATGGCATACAACATACGTAGCTCTTTCCTCTGCCACTTCTTGGCTTTCTCTTTCCGTTTTAGGTATCTAGCCCTTGCCGCTTTTTGCTCACTGGGTAATTCCTAGCACGCCCCGGACCTGAGCGCCGAGTACGGAATATTATATAAGCACACCACTTCTACGCCGACGTAGCTATGACAAGCCTGGCGTGTATGTGCTTATAGAAAGAAACAACCAAAGGGGATTTTTGCGAAATAGAATTGTGTCCTGACAATTGTGGCGAATTTCACCAGTATAAGGATGTCATGACTCATATATGCCTTCTCTTCATCCGACTCGATGCTTCTGACTTTCCTTTCTCATGCTCTCCACTTCCGCCTGTTCAGTCAATTTGGAAGCCTCATCAAAGTTCCCTTTTTCTCTGCTAGGGTAGAGCTTGTTTGCTATATTCCTTCGAGGCCTGAAGGAACGCAGTTGGGGGCTACCTTTTCGAGATCGAATCTTCAAAGGCACTCATGAAGGCAACAAGAAGGTCCTCACGATGAGCAGAACTAATCACCTGCAGCCCAATAGGTCGAACAGAGTTGGACGTAGTCGGGAAGAACATCGTACCTTTGGCTGAGGCATATTGAGTCAAAAAGCAATCTCCGGGGGCGACAGTAATGTCAATTTCGTTATTCTGTAAAGCTGCGTCGATGTTTGAACCTACGGCTAAATAGTGCTCACGGAGCGTCTCAATCTGGTCGGGGGACAGCTTCGCGCTTAGTGCTTCGATCAACACATCCTGACTCGGATATTCTGTTAGAATTAGAGATTATCTATGAGTTACCTGATGGGAGATTACCGGTAGGGAGTGCTTCTGCTGCGTGCTCCTGATTCCACTTCACAAGTTCCTCTAAGTTCTTCACGGGAGATCCTGGCAGCTCGCTGAGGTAGTCGTTGAGAACATCAACTCATTCGATATCTGCGTCTATTAGAACCAATAGTTCGTAAAGTCACGAAAAGACATACCCAAGAGGTGTAGATGGAATGTTTCCCGTTCAGCATGAATTCTGAAACAGGGGGAAGGTCGGCATTCTCATGAAAGACACTGGCCAAGCCCTCACGAATCTTGGAGTATGTCTCCAGAATAATTCGGTTCTGCATAAGTCTGTTAGATATAGAACCCATAGATACTTGGAAAAGATTCCTTACAATTCGCTCTGTAGCTTCGGGCACGGGATTGACTAAGAAATCTGGGTAATTCCAAACTTCTGGATCAAGCGTACCAATCCTGAATGACTTTCCATGGTTTTTGGTAGCAGAGGATGCATAACCGCCTTGTGGGGTTTTTGTCTTGCCTGGCTCAACGAGAGCCGTCAAGAGGTCTGCTACATCTCGAACACTCCTACCCATTGGGCCGATGGTGTCAAAAGTCTTTGGGCACGGGACTGTACCATTTACTGAAACAATTCCGGTAGTCGGTCGAATTAAATACAGAGACGCTCTAACTGCCGGGGCGGTAATAGAGGCATCGGTATCCGTTCCAACTCCATTAGCAGCAAGACCTGCACTGATGACGATGGAAACTCCTGAGGATGAGCCGCCGGGTACCTATGTGCTATGTATCAGCAATTTTCCTCGCTCTAGGGACGAGTAATAAGAACATACAGTATGCCCTCCGATCGAATCGGTTGGATCGAATCCCCCAGGAATATAGGGACTGTCCTTGGCCGTCAACTGCAGACCAACCGCATGGGAGACCTTTTCCTCTAGTAACAATGTTAGACAAAAAGAAACATGAAGAAAACCCGTCGATGGAATTTTACTTTCGATAGCTTAGCTCCTGAATAAGCATTAGCTGTGCCGTTCTGGATTCTCCGTTGAATCTCTCTGGGTACCCACTGATATGGTTGTCTTTCCCAAAATAACCGCTCCAGCAGCAAGCAGCTAATAATAATTAGACTTGAAACCTCGAAACAGCTATTGACGGGGCAAATAGATTACCTTGTCGGCAACCTGCGCATTTTTGGTGGATTTTGTATTCAGGAGCGCCACTGCTCCTGTGGATGTCTTCATCTCCAGGCTTGGCCCACTGATTGTGTCAGCCAAATGAAAGGACCAAGAGCTGACCAAAAGGACAAGCTATACCTTGATAAAAACAGGGATTCCATGAAGCGGGCCTAAGAATTCACCGGCTTCCCTCTTAGCATCCAATTCCTGAGCCCGTTCCAGCGCAACTGGCGCATATACAGAGACCGCACGAAGATACCCATTGTGCTCCTCAATATTTCGAACATACTCCTCAACCAGATCGGTACTCTTCAGGGTTCCGGCAATCATCATCTGCTGCAAATCATAGGCCGTCGCGGTGAGAGTATTGAATAGAGGTGGGCCCCGCCGATGGCGAACCACGCTTCGTGGGGGCTTGCCCGGCTTCCAAGCGCTGGGATATCCTGGGTTGGACATCGTTTTGAAGGTGAATATTCTATATTTGATAATATTATATGGAACTAGAGAGAAGATGATCAAGAAAATGGCTCGACAACTTGGTAATCTGGAGGTCGAGAATACCATCTTTGTTGGTGGCACCTGCAAAGCAAGCGTTGCGTTCGTATAAGGATTGAAAGCCAAGACAGGTAAGCCACTAGTGGTAACCTTCGTCCTGCGCCTCTAGTTTCCTGAATGCGGGTGACATGTTCCGTCCACTAAATCAGACGAACCACACTCCATATGTAGCCCATTGCACAGTGGGAGGCAGCCTGTTGATATAGCTGACCATTTTCAAATGTTGCAAACCTCGGACCTCTTACTCAACGAGCAAACAATCTATGAAGCAAAGAAATAACAAATGCAAATAGGAAGCGAGCAAGCAGACGATCAAGCAGGCAAACAGATAGTCGCCAATCGGTAGAGCCATATAGTAGACAATCATGAAGATGGTAACAACTAGGCCACTAGGTCGAGGTAATAACTATCCCCTACTAGTAATTACTTGTACGTGGTTACGAAGGGGCATAGCAAAATAACACATTATAATCGAAGTATCGGAATATATATCAATCTCTGATAGTCCGGGGGCACATAACCCCTCCTTCCCTCTCTAGTACAATGCAGTCATTCATATATTCAATAAAATCCTAATACGCCACCCTTCTACCTTACCCACGATAGCAATACCAGCTGCCTAAACCCAACAAATCACCGGGGACCGAGATGAGTGACAAGTGCTGCAGCACCGGTCCCGCCGCAGCACTAGGCCCTTGATTCGGTGCTACAGCACTGTAAACAATACCAACACAGCTAAGCTCGTTGACCTGCATAAATTGCTTTGACTTCTGTCAAGAAACAGCCCTGGAGGGGTGTTATTTTGATTGGTCATTTTACCGCCGAAGCATGTGACTTTGACGAGTTATGCGCTTGCTTATTAATTATGTCCGACCGGATTGTCAAATTCGGACCTTTATTTAGTTATACGTGAAATGTATTAATTTCTATTGATTAATGTCGTAGTATGGGATTAACCTCTGGTCCATGATACGGGGTTCCGTAGCCTACCACTAGAAGTAGGTGGATAGAGTCTTTAAGTTCTGTTAATCCGAGATTATTCTGTTACCTCGCATTTATGATTACACGAACTTTAGGGAAGGTCCAGGAGAAACCGAAGGAATACGCGATTAAGCCTGCCCGGGGTATGCCGCTGGTGAGAAGGGTGCCGTATAGTGCACGCTAGCGCTGGTTCAAATACGATCAGTTCTCTCTCTCCGACATCAAATTAGCAATACCCGACAGAAAATATGTCTTCCCAAAACATCAAGTCAAGATTATGGGACATGGTGAATGAAAATCAGCTCATCCCAAGCCCAAGGCATACATCACGTCATCACTCCCATCACCATCACGAAGATACCGAAGCAAGTCCCCAAAGGCAGGCCCTCAGGCGAACGGCCCAGGAGACCATCGGCGTTCTCTCAGTTCTTCTGAACCGGCTCAACTCCACCAATCAGGCCCACAAATCTAAGAAATTATCGTCAAGTTCGGTCAGACGCTTACACCCCAGCGACTGCCCCCGCTTCCCATCACCAGCGACGGTCAAAATCATCAACGACGATACCCTCAACGTGGCCGTCGGACTATTTGAGTCCGCACGGACACAACGTCTCGATCCAAGCCTGAACCCCCGCCCAATAATTATCAACTTCGCTAGCTACCGAAAACCAGGTGGGGGCTGGCTAAATGGCGCGATGGCACAAGAGGAATCCATCTGCTACCGCAGCTCACTGGCGCTCAGCCTCCACAGCAGGGATTACCCGCTCGCTCTAGACGAGTCCATCTACAGCCCCTACGTTCTGGTCATGCGGAGTGACCTAGCCTCCGGACACAATTTGTTAGAGTCTCCCACTACTCCACCAGAAGATCTTCCTGTTGTCAGCGGGATTACAATCGCCGCTCTCTATCGACCTATACTCCGGAGAGTGGTGCTGAAAGATTCTCAGAAAGAGCGACGTGGCCATAGCCCACACGCACACCACAGCTCACGCCACTGCTCGACTTCACCCTCGCCCTCCCGTCGGCGTACCCAAGAAGTCTTCGCGCGCGACAGGGACCGCAAACTTACCAAATCTAAGATGAGGCAAGCACTGCGTATTGCGGCATTCAATGGGCATGGGATGCTAGTCCTCGGGGCTTTGGGCTGTGGGGTGTATGCGAATCCCCCTGCTGAGGTTGCGCACTGCTGGCTCGAGGTTCTGAGGGAGACTGAGTTTTGTGGAAACTGGTGGCGTGAGGTGTGCTTTGCTGTCTATGACCCGAAGAACGAAGGCAACTTTGCGACCTTTGAACGGGTGTTATCTGGGAAGAAGGTTTAGTTTCGCTTTTTCATTTTTTATTGTTATGCTTTTTTGTACTGTCCAGCTCCGTACAGAGTAATATATTCATTTATACTTTACATCACGGAAATATGCCGCTCATCAGGTTGTTGCAAAGGTTGCCTTTGCGCAATGATCTGGCAACATCTTGTTCGATACACACCCGGGCAAAGCGTCAATGTTACCGCGGGTGGTGATTGGTGGATTATATTGTAGGCTAGGGATGAGGCTCTGTGACTGTACTCCACCGGGTGGCCGTACATATTCACCCGTCCGGCAGGGAGACGTTATTTTTGCATTAATACATATGCAGCAGCATGTAATTCATACCGGATCTTAGGCTGCGGATGCGAGTTCTTGGTCGGGTGCTGCCGCTTTATGAGGGTCCTTAGGGTCGTGTATGTGTCCCATGTTGGATGTTGTGTCAGAGTTAACGGACTTAGCCGGCCAGTGCGTTGCGGGCCTACGTTGGTCCCAGTGCGACCCGACCGAGAAATAGAAATTCACTCTCTGTCGTCAGTTTTCTGTCATCGATCCTGCTCCTGCCTTATCGACACTCAAAAGACACGGCTTCCTACTTTGAACAAGAGGGAACGACTACGTTTATCGCGACGTAAGGTATGCAGCCTTTCACCTACTAATATTTTGACACAATCACTGATACCAGCTCATCGTGGCTAGTTTTAAACGACCCTACTCTGAATGCAGCCAAGCAGTAGCTGCTGTTGAAACCAAACGTGTTCGCCTTCAGGCTGAAGAGGAAGAAGAGTAAGTACATATCAAACAAGCATCTATAATCTTACAGAGAACTTATGAATCTTGTTCTTTAGGTCAACTATGGGTACCGAAGAAAGAACACTGCACCCGAGAGAACTTCTCCGCCAGCTTTCCGAGTCAATGAATGGCAGACATGATGAACTTTCCGTGACCCTCCCCGCGCACAGTACCTGGAGGTCTGCTATCCAAGCTGTGGTAGCAGCCCTAGACGACGTCGACGAATCCTTTCTTGTAATGCCGCGCAGATGCGGTAACCGCCGAGCTATTCGTGAGATAGCACTGCAGGCAGGCACGGAGGTGAACTTCAAAGGACTCCCAATCCGAACAAATGTTGACCTGGGGACGGTGTCACCCCGACCACCTCGTAGCGAATCGGTTCGCGAGCGTCTGCGTGAGATTGCCAAGGATGCTGCCAAAATGGAATGGCGAGATCCTTATGTATCGCTCCATGCCGGATTAGGAGACTCATGCCTCCCTTTGATTCGCGCAAATATCACCTTGAAAGGGATCGATGGCAACGAGCAAGACCTGACATGCGAGCTTGAAGAGGTAGAGATGGTGTTCAACACAGGTGCACATCGGACCATTATCACTGAAGAGCTACTCTCCCCCGCCTTTCGAGAATACTTGCGGGACCCTATCCACGACTTATATCGCTCGCCTGACGGTATAGCTGTGCAGGTTGATTCTAGTCTGGCTTTGTCAAATTCCTGTACTAGCATTGACGCCGTTGCGCTTATTCTGCCTAAGGCCAAGATGCCCAACCAGCTAGTTGGGATTTTATTCGGCCAAATTTCCTGTATTGATCGACTTAGCCTTCGGGCTATTCCTCGGCATGTACTTCTCGCCAGGGGAGAGGGGGTCTCAGATCAACTCTGGGGAGACATTTTAGTCGAGGAATATGCCAATCTGGACGGCGAGCTTGTCTCAATTTGAAATTCTTTAGTTGGATGGTGTTTGCTTGAATCGATGTATCGGTGCGAAGAGTGGCTTATTTTTACTCTTGTTTATTACTTGCTGCTACCACCTCGCTTGGCTACATTTTTTTCTGTCTCAGGAGCTGGATTTTTCATGTTTTCGTTTTGGTATGTCCTGTATGAACTTTAGCCGTTCTTTATTCCGCACGAGTCTTCTCAGTGTTGGTGTTCTTCTGGAATCACTCGGTCTCTAAAAATGGACTACTGCGTTCTTCGGTTAACAAGGCATGATTTATAGTTGAACGCGCCTCATAGCTCGATCGAACCAAGACCTTCCACCCTGAAGAGATAATCCTCTTCAAACTTCCCCATCTCGCTCCGTCCTTAGAACAATTGTGTAAAAACACGACGGTTACCGCTTCTTCGCGGTATTACAAGAAAGGGTTCATCGACATCGTTTAGGGCTGCTACCACAGTTTGGATAGCAGACCTCCAGGTACTGTGCGCGGGGAGGGTCACGGAAAGTTCATTAAGTTTGCTATTCATAGGGTCCCGCAGGTATTCTCGAAAGGTGGGGTAGAGGAGCTCTTTAGCGATAATAGTCCGATATGCACCTATGTCGAATACCATATTCACCCCTTTCAGTCAGGTCTTGCTCGTTGCCATCGAGCCCTTAGAAGTGATATTGGCGCGAATAAAAGGGGGGCATGAGTCTCCTAATCCAGGACGGAACGATCGATACGTAAGGATCTCGCCATTCCATTCTAGCAGCCTCCTTGCCCATCTCATGGAGACGCTCGCGAACCGCTTCGCTAGGAGGGAGGCGGGGTGCCACGGTCTACCGTTGATAGGTCAACAATTGTTCCAATTGGGAGTCCTAGGAAGTTCAGCTCTGCGCCTGCCTGCAGTACGATCGATTTAGATATTATAGGTATTTTAGAGTGGGGGATATATCGTTTATAAAACTGTGCCGTATGAAGTGATTGGTTTGTCTTTTCCCACAAACCTGGATCTTCCCTAAATGCAATTCGCTTAAGCACATGGGATTGCTAGCACGGTCTGATATGTGGGTCCTTCTCGAGGGAAGTACGTACTCAACTACGTACACCTCCGGTTTGAAGTCAAGTGAATGAACTAGCCTTACAAAGAGCCAATCATTACATGGTGTGCCTGGCAGAGCTACTTTCTAGTAAGCTCAGTAGCTCATTATATCCTTCCTGACCACCACGAATGTCCACAGACATCTTTTTACATCGTCAAAGTACGAGATAGATAATGGTCTCGGTTATTCGATCCAATTGGCCTCCTGCCTAGGTATTTGGGGCCATTCAAATCATATGTTGTACCTGCCCGAAATGCCCTTGCTCTTTGCAGCCAAGTCAGCCCTAGGCATCTACCCGACGATTTCATTGCGGATGTAATCAAGAGCAAGCCAAATTCGAATTCTTGCTCGACGCACATTCTCTCACGGAGGCACTTGGACTGGCCACTTGTGTCTTACTGCCGAGCCGATTAAGTACCCAGTGACTTCATTGACTTGTTAGAAGACTTGGAAACAGGGTTCTTAATTGACAGGACGAAGTTCCCTGAGATGAGGATGAGGCGTTTCAATTACATATATATATCCTCAGTACTTCAATGCCAAGTTCCGGCTTCCAAATCTTCGATAATCTTTACGCGAATATGATTATAAGGGGGAATTGTGACTGTTTGGACTGCATTGTATGATCTTCTAGTTGATCTCATCACCGATATCTCCCATAATTCTTTTGGGGCTAAGAACAACTCTTTCTCAAGAGAATTCTTTGAGCCGCCTCATCATAGTCGCTAGATTCAAGCCCTACAACCTGCACACAGTCAAATTCGTGCCGAACGATAAGCTGATGAGTCTAGGAGTTCCTGCTAGTCGTGCATCCACCCGAGTGGGGTGGGTAAACTACGGGCCGGGGGCGTGACTTCCGGTTACTAGCGGCGCACGAGTCGCCTGTTGTCTACATAAGTCGGCCCAACCCCGAACCACATATACAAAATCCCCATTCAATTCCCTCTTTACCAACCATGCCTAGGCTCTCTCATCTGGCTGTATTTTTTGGCGCTCCCTGTGCCGCTTGGGGATGTTTTCTAGCTTCCGTCCGTGCAACAGGATTCGTTGGGTCGGACGGTCCAGGATTTGCATTGATGATCATTTTTTTGATGCTCGCTTTATTCGGCCTTTTCCTCATTTGGGCTCTGTCGTGTGTCCCCGTATTCATGTGGTTGATTGAGGCACTGGGCCTTCTTCCGCTGGAAATGCAAGACAAGAAATTACCGCTAGAATTCGGAGACGAGAAATTCATGTCGGCCGATCCAGGTCTCGAGCTGAACAACAAAACGCGCTTGGCAGCAGAGATAGAGATTTTGGATACAATGGCGCGTACTAGACGGCAAAGACTGGCTGAGCTTTAAGTTCCAACTTTTTCCGCTCCTCTCGATGTACCACTCCGCACGAAGTTTCGAACTGTTCGCAGTTTGCGATTTCCTGCGAATCGGGTCGAATTCGAATCTTGATTACGGGCTTCGAATCTATGCCGCTTCGATTCGCCAAAAATCGCGAACTTTGGACTAGTTCGCGAATTGTTTCTAGAACCGGGGTTGTGAAACGAGCTTTCGAGATGCAGGATGCCTCGGCAAACTCGGTCTAAGATATCACTCTCATGAAACCCCAAAGAAGCCATGGCTACATAACCAGTCATACTCCAATTCATGCATCTTTAGCCTTAATAGCGTCCCAAGGCTCTTGCCTTTCATGGGAAACGTCGAACTCCCAGTACATCACTACCACCACTATTCTGATAGGTTGAGTACGTTGGGGTATCATATTCGATTAAATATGATTATCACTGCAAATCCAAGAAAATAACAAATACAGGAGTATGAAGGAAGCTAAAGAGTAGATTTATGGCAGGGCGAGGTTATGCGGCTGAACTCTCAGCTTCATGCAGGTCTGCCCAGCACCTCAATAGACTCAAAATGTTACAGCCTTTCTCAAGCTTCGTGTATTACAGGCCCAATCAGACCTGTATGTTGGAGTGCACCTATTGGCTCAACCGGACTAACCAGCTTGACTAGATAAATTGTAGTACAAGCATGTTCGAGGATTCGGGAAATTCTTATTGCTTGGCTGCTTATAAAGTCAAACCTCGTGATTCTTAGGATACCTGCATGATAGTATCACTCTACAATACAGCCAACACTGCCCGCCACCAACATAGATATATGGATGTGATAGGTTCGAATAATGCGCATGCAAGCCACCTTTATCGTGGTTAGGATCAGAAAGAGTATCTTAGATCTTGGCATGCAGGTAACGGGTAAAACGGGCTCTCGGCCCGCTCTGGATACGAGCACCATGTGGTGCTTATCCCCATGCAGCTGGCCCGTTTCGGAATTACGCTGAGTCCCCCTCTCTCTCGCGCGCGCGTGCGCGGTGGCTTACAGGGATTTAATCCTTGTAATCAAGCCCGAGGTCACTTTCCAAGTCACCCTTTGGGCACTACGAGGAGTAGCTGAATCATCCCGGGGGTCTTCATCATACTTTTATGGTGCCATGCATTTCAACTCCGCTTGTATTGGCTATAGTCTTGCATGACTCGAGTCAAAAACTCGACTTTACATGTAGCGCTGTCCTCATATCCCTGTATGTCTATCTCAAAGAAAAGAGCAAAAAGAGCCTTTTATTTCGTATGCAGGTACTTTGTTATCATTTCGTATATTTCGTAAATTACGCGTGCGCCTCCCTTGTACTCTAGAGTAGACTATCAATAGGAAGTGAATTTCGAGCTGGCATCTTCCTTTGCAGTACGGAGTAGAAGCAGGTGGTTTAAAATACTGTATCCCACCAAAACGATGTATATTAGAAGCGCTTAAGGCGGGGCAAGATTGGAATCTATAAGAGCTGGCTCTATCCACGATATGATTTTTGCGTAGCATATCCTTTTCTCAACAGCATACAGCCCAGTACTCCTTGATCATTCTTCAAATATGTTCAAGACATCGACTTCCTTGAAAAATATGCGAATATTGTTCATGGTCAGCCGCCCACTTTGGTGGCCGGTTGCCCCTTGTCTCTATTTTTCGGGTATTCTTCATGCCGGCGATTTTCCGTCGACGATACCGGCAATACTGTTTGCTCTTGCTCTATCTTTCCCTTTATGCTTAGGTAGGAGTGATCTGAAACCAAAGTCGGAATGATCCTGATCTTAACTAACTTGGGCAAGTGACCTTCGGTGTCAACGACGCTTACGACTATGATTCCGATATACAGAATCCTCGGAAGACAAAATATTTTTCAGAGGGTGCAGTATTATCTCGAGAAAATCATGAATTTGTGCTACTTGTTTCCAAAGCTACTACAGCTTTCATTGTCTTGTGCTCCATACCTGCATCAGTTCAAAGTCCTCGATTGTTACTTTGCACTTTATCATTTCTTTTTCTCACCTGGACATACTCCTCACCACCGATACGGCTTAAGGAGATACCAATCCTGGACTCAATATCTAATGGAGCAATTCTCTGGCTTTTCTGGGCAAGCGGGTATTGTTCTGGGAGCGACAAAGCTCTGCAACACCAGACTGATCACACCAACGGCGCCTTTGTCTTTTTTTACGCCTGTGCTTGCCATGGCTTGGCTTCGATTGTTGATACACAGCCAGACAGCTCTGCAGGTCATCGGACAATATCAACATCTTTCGGAGTCAGATTCGCAGCATTATTCTCAGCAATATGTTTGTATGTTGGCTTTCCCTTTCCACTATAATAACATCCAAAAGCTAACTTCATGACCGGGTAGCCTCTTGGCCAATTATCAAACTCCAACACGGTCCGATATTGGCATGGCAAGCTTGGCTGGTGTAGTCTCTTCTCTATGTATCTGCCTTCTACCATCCAAGGGCAGTCGAATCGGGCGGTTGGCTTTTGTAGGAACGTACTGTGGTACAATAGTATGGATATTCGAAAGAATCCTGGAAATTCGAGAAGGAAAAGAGATGCAGTTTCCTAGATTTTAGTGGCTAGCAAGGGAAAGCAGGAAACTGTGACATTTTTACAACAGTTAGAAGTCTTAGGCGGAAGAGCAACATAAATTCATACGCAACCTTCACTGATAATTGAACTCTCAACATGTTGGAGATGGTGACTTCCTCCTGAGGCTCTGCCTTTCCGTTTTAAGTGCTAAGGCCTCGCCGCTTTTTACCATGTGCTTAGTCAGGTATGGCTAGTTTAACTAAAGATCGCGGGGCAATTCCGACCTCTTCTGTGAATGAATATAGTAACGTCGACATGTATATTTGGAAATATAGACTGATTAGGTGTATTGCCTATTATTGAATAATCACTTTTACACTCTTCAGATTGTCTATAACTATGTATGAATATGTGTTGTATTACAAATAGCAGCCCTGAAAGGCATCTCCGCGTTTCCAGTGACGTCGAGAAACCCCCACTTGCGCGGGAAAAAAAATCTTTTGAGACTACAGTTTTGGAATTGACGATACCACATACTCAGCCCCTTCTTTCTGGCTCATACATTACACTCCAATATGCCGACTGAACTCGAAGATGTGCGTGCCTACGGCCTACGATATTGATTAGCTCACTCACGACTCTTTATAGCTGGTGGAATTCCTGCACCATGGCAATACCCCAATCAGACAAATATGTATGGCAACTCTTCTCACACAGCACGAACATATGATCTAACAGCTCATAGCTTGCGAAACCCTCGTCGGCTTCTCCACCACCCAGCCTGAAGTGTTCAAGCGCAATCAACTCCTACCCGTTCGCGATTTGATGCTTCTAGTCCGCGATTACGACGTGCGTTATCTGCGATCATGGGGGTGACTTTCGACTGATATCTTTTTACAGCCCATTGCGAAGAATGCATTGACTATCCTGGTCAATTTGTCTGGCGATGAAGAAGTGTTGAAACTCCTCGCCGGGGATGACAAGTTTATTGAGGAATTGCTCACGAAATTGACAGTGAGTTTTCTCGACTGTCATAACTAGACGGTAACAGGGCTAATATGTCTGATCCCAGAATCCCAAAGAGCCTAACGCCGATGAAGTGGCTATGCTTTTAGCCAACCTCGTCAAATCCGAAAACCTAAACAAACTATTCGCTCTCAAGCGCAAAGTCCCCGAATCCGTATCTACCTCCGAGAACGCGATCGATCAGGTGATGGACTGCTTCGTCAAGGGTGCCGAGGGTGGTCTCAACAAGAACGCCAATTATGATTACCTGTCGTACGTGTTTGCCGACCTCTCCCAGACCGAACAGGGCAGGGCCTATTTCACTCAACGCCAGGAGTACGATGGGGTGGTCCCCATCACCAAGCTGACGGTCTTCACGGAGCACCGAAGCGATATCCGGAGGAAGGGTGTTGCATCCACAATCAAGAATGTGGCTTTTGAGATCGACTCGCATCCAATGCTCTTTGACGAGGACGGTGCCAACCTTTTGCCTTACTTATTGCTCCCGCTTGCAGGTCCAGAGGAGCTGGCGGAAGATGATACGGCGGACATGCTGCCAGACCTCCAACTGTTGCCGCCCGATAAGCAACGAGACAGCGACCCTACCATTATCACAACCCATCTCGAAACCCTGCTTCTCCTAACCACAACTCGGGACGGCCGGGAGAAGATGCGAGCAGTCAAGGTTTACCCATTGATTCGCGAAACTCATATGCACGTTGAAGATGAAAATGTGACAGAGGCATGCGACCGGTTAGTGCAAGTCCTGATGCGAGACGAGGCAAAGGAAGGTGAGGGTGAAGGCGAAAAGGAGCCCGAACAACCTCAAATCGAGGCGCCTCAAAACGAGGATGAAAAAGTTGTAGAACTGTTTTAATGATTAGATACCAAACTGAAATGTACATATGGAAGCGAACACTATAAAACACTTTCTATTGTTGTTAGTGCCTTGAATGTAACCTTACCTGCGTTCGAAAGGGAAGATAAATCTGCCGATGTCGGTGGGGCAAGCCCATGAGCTCGGACAACGGGTCGTTTTTCACCACACTACGCTCTAGTCCTCCACTAGCTCTGTGGTCTTCTCTTCTGATTCCTCAATGCCCTGATCTATTTTGAGCTAATGCACGGCCTAACCTGAAATACTTATAGTATTTCATCATAACCCCACCACCACGTCGGCCAATATTCCACTGCGGACGCGGAAGCTGTCTTGCCCCTCGACCTCGAGGCGCGAGTGGCTTCCCGCTGGACCGGATCAAACTAATTCTAATTTTGATGATAGCGCGAGCGACAATGGAAACTACCCCGAAATCGACAATCCACTACCCGGCGTGAACCCCGACACAGGGATTGTTCAGCGCTTTCGGGCCTTCATGTCGGGCGCCCCTCTTCTTCGTTCATCGCCCGTCCTGGGCGCTCCCTCTTACGGAGCATTGCGAGACCCGGACGGCTCAGAAGAGGACACACCCGTTTCGCGTGGGCCGAAAGTTCGTGGGGGGTTACACCGCGCGAGCTTCGGAGATGGCATCGGAAGTTCTTCCAACGTACCAGGGTCTACTCCGAGACGATCACATTCCTTTGTCAGACAACGAAACAGCTTATATGCAGAGAGAAATCGTCGGCCTTCCTCCGCCGCGTCCGATGTGGGAATGGGTCCTGATTCGAAATACTCGTTCGCTACTGGATTGGCTGTACCGGGTAACCCGGTGATGCAGGAGACTCCGGCGTCTTCACCATATATGACAAGTGATGATGAAAATGTCCTCGACATTGATGATGATGATTCAAAATCCTCGGATGAGGATCCTCCAGACAATTCGCCGTATGCCCAAGTTCGGGCTTCCGTTCCGGCGACAGATGATTTCTCTCTTTCTATTAACAGTAGGCTTTCTTTCTGGTGCTTTTTCTCCTTATATCTAATGATCTCTAGCACCTCGAATGTGGATTCTTTCGTTGTTATTCTCTTTGACGGGGTCTGCCGCCAATCTTTTCTTTTCCTTGCGCTATCCCAGTGTTGCCATTACACCAATCATTGCTCTTGTTCTAGTCCATCCACTGGGCAAATTTTGGGATTTAATTTTCAGACAAACAGGTGATCCGCTCGAGTTTTTTGAAAACGGAACCCTTCACCACCGGGAATCACTCTCCGGTGATATCGAGGCCCCTCCTGTTCCATTGGCGTCTCGAGTCAGACTTTGGTTTGCCCAGGGCCGTTGGAACGAAAAGGAGCATGCTTGCGTTTACATCAGCAGCAATGTTTCCTTTGGGTTTGCTTTCGCGACTGATGTTAGTAGACCAACGAAATACTCATGACGAAGCTGACCCAAGACAGGTTATTGTTGAGCAACATAAATTTTACAACCAGGATGTTCCAATTATATATCAGCTGCTGCTCATAATTTCCACTCAAGTTTTGGGATATGCATTCGCGGGTCTAACTCGACGATTCCTCGTGCGGCCATCGGCTATGATCTGGCCGGGGACCCTGATGTCCACTGCAATGTTCTCTACAATGCACAAGTCTGTCAACAAAAAGGCAAATGGGTGGAGTATCTCCCGATATAAGTTCTTCGTCGTTGTGTGGGCAGGGGCCTTTCTCTGGTATTTTGTCCCGGGACTGTTGATGCCTGCTCTGAGTTATTTTAATGTGATCACTTGGTTGGCACCCAAAAATGTGGTGATTTCGAATTTGGTAAGACATTCAGGTCCTCTTTTTAAGCTGCTATAGCTAACTCTCTTTAGTTTGGTGTTGCCTCTGGTCTCGGAATGTTTCCCTTGACCTTCGATTGGGCTCAGATTGCCTATATTGGCTCACCGTTACTCACGCCCTGGTGGGCTGCAGCTAATATTGTCACGGGACTGGTGGTTGTCATCTGGATAGCCGCCCCAATACTTTGTAAGGCCCCCCCGTCTTATCTAATTTGACTCTGCTGATCAAATGAAGATTATAAAAATGTGCTTTTCTCTGCATATATGCCCATAGTTTCAACAGCTGTGTTCGACAATTCCGGGCGACCATACAACGTGAGCCGAATATTGACCACGGATTTTTTGTTTGATGAAAAGGCCTATCAAGATTACTCCCCAGTTTATCTCCCAATCACCTACGTGCTGTCTTACGGTGTTCAGTTTGCTGCTTTGACATCCCTTGTCTCTCACACCATTTGCTGGTATGGCAAGGACATTTGGCAACAGACTAGGAAGGCCTTTGAGGAAAAACGGCAAGTGCCAGACATGGAGACGTACCAGCCCCTTCGTGGAAGCAATGATGCTCCCCGACAGAGTTATGAAATCCCAAGGACTAGCTCACGTGAAGCGAGCCAGGACATTCCATTGGGAGGGGAAGATGTTCATTGTCGCTTGATGAGGCGCTATAAGGACGCTCCCCTCATGTGGTATCTTGTTGTGTTCGTTTCTATGCTTGTCATTGCCATCTTCACGGTGGAATAGTACGTTTTCAATCCCCCTTGACCTTCGATAGCAACTAACCTGCACAAAAGTTACCCAACACATTTACCTTGGTATGGCCTACTCCTGGCTCTTGGTATTACTTCTGTGTTTTTCATCCCAGTGGGTATCATCATGGCTGTCACCAATCAACATAGCAGCCTCTATCTGATCTGCCAACTCCTTTGCGGTATTGTATTCCCGGGAAGGCCTGTAGCGAACATGATTTTCGTGACCTACTCATATATCAGCTCTGCACAAGGGATCAAATTTTCCTCGGACCTCAAGCTCGGCCATTACATGAAGATCCCACCACGAATTCTGTTTGGCGTGCAGATGATGGCGACTTTAGTCTCGAGTCTGACCCAAATTGGTGTGCTGAACTGGATGTTCACTTTTGTCCCGGGGCTTTGCACCCCAGAGGCTATCAATGGTTTCAACTGCCCCATTGCTCGAGTCCATTTCAACGGCAGCATTCTCTGGGGAGTCGTTGGCCCGCAGCGCTTCTTTGGCCCAGGAGGGCTATACCGTCCGCTTGTCTGGGCCTTTTTGATAGGAGCCATCGCCCCTCTCGGAGCGTGGCTTCTGGGAAGACACAGCAAGAAGAGTTTCTGGCGTATGGTCAACTTCCCTATCTTGTTTGGCAGTCTGAGCTGGATCCCACCTGCAACCGGGCTCAACTTTTCCATCTGGGCCCTTGTATGTTTTGTGTTCAATTATGTGATCCGGCGAAGGAGGACCGCATGGTGGGAAAAATATGCAATGACATTGTCGGCCGCATTGGATTCCGGGTTGGCATTCTCAGTGGTCGTTGTCTTCTTCGCCTTCATTTACCCGGGATGGGTCGATGGTTTCAAATGGTGGGGGACGGAGATTTATAAACAGGTACGTCCTTGGTCTTCTGGTTGTTTTTGGTCCCTACTAATTGTGTCAAGGGCTGTGATTGGATTGCTTGTCCATACAAACCACTGGAACCGGGTCAACGATTCGGTCAGTAGATTTTGCATGAATTAAAAAACAAGGAAATAGAAATTCACAATAGAAATCCAGTGAATTATACCAAATCTCAGATACACTACATCTAGTACTCAATCACAATCACCAAAAAAGCAAGAATGGTCGGCTGCATATGCGCCTCTGTTCTCAATGACTTTGAAGTTAAGGACTTGGATAATCTGAATATACAGCTGGCTCAAGAGGATCTTAGAGATGCTTCAGTTCAGACCGACTACGGTGTTTTGACCCTTAGTCTCTTTGCTTCCGTTGGATTCTATTCTCAATCGCAGTTAGGCTGTAGTTATAGAGGTGATCTTTAAGGTAAAAGAGCCTCCCAATGCACGGACCACACGACCCGGAGATCTCCCCGAGTCACGTGGCCAATCTGGCGGGACGGGTAAACATTTGCTCCGAGGTCTACCGTCATACCTCCTGGTCGGTGCTCTCAAAGTGGCTTTAGCGTCTCTCACTCTTTTTTAAGTCGGCCGCCCCTTGTCGCAACACAAAACAGGTAAAAGGCTACCTTTGTTCTGTCCTTCCACCCTAGTGCGATCCTTCGCGTCACCTTCTACCACTCGTACGACTCCGTCCTGTACGTCGGCAACATGTCGACTCCGACGAATCCATCGAATGCTCGCACTCCAACCGGCCCAAATGGTGCACCGCTGATGAGGATGCGTCGTCCAAAAGCAGCGGATCCTTTGGTTCGACCGAAGAGAAGGCCTGTTCCCAGACCAGCTGGCGCCACTCCTGCCGGCAATGGAGTAGCCACCAAGACTCTTCCTTCACGACCGCAAAGGCCCCACAACCAGGCAATCTTCCCGTCCGAGCGACCTATGCTTGAGCTTTCAAACAACCACATGGCAGCGAATGGATTCAGCGGTCCTTTGCTCAGTGATAAATATGTTGATTACCCGGTGGTGACGACAAAGCGAGCTCTGATGGAGGGACTGAAGCACCACATCGCGCGATTTGCCTCGAAGAAAAGCGTTGACCCACGTGATGAATCACAATTTACGCGACCAGTCCGACTTCACCGCCGCGACCCACGTTCACGAACTCATGATCCAAATTCGGGGAGATCCGAGATCGATGGCCAGCCAATGGATGAAGCGGAACGCGAAGCCTTCGATGCTCGCAAGGCAGCACGTGAAAAAGAGCGCGCTGAGAACCTTTCCCAAATCGCCCCCGCCCTCGGCTCAACCTCGAAACGACCAAATGCCCCAAAGCAGAAGACGCAGCAGGTTTTCAAGTCGGATATGACCCCCGAAGAAATTGCACGAGCACGGATCAAGTACGAAGAAGCCTTGCCATGGCATCTGGAGGATTTCGATAACCAGCACACTTGGGTTGGAAACTACGAAGCAGCCCTGTCCGAAACACATGCGATCTTTGTCCTCGACAACGGAAAGATGAGAATGATACCGGCCGAAAAGTGGTACAAGTTTAACGCTAAGAGTAATTTCAAGGCTTTGACGATTGACGAAGCAGAGAAATTCATGGCTAAGAGAGTGAAAGACCCCCGATGGTTCATGGAGAAGCAGCAGCAGCTGGAGCAAGAAAAGGAACTGGAAACATACGCCAAGCAGCGCAAAGTCTACGCCGGAAAACAGGGCACAACCGCCGGAAAGGGTGCGGGATTGGAAGCTGGTGAAATGGATTTCGAAGAGGATCGATTTGCCGACGACGAAGAACATGATGACCTCTTCAATGAGGATGAAGATGCCAAGGATGCGGAAAAGAGGATCAAAGAGGACCAGCTCAAGGCGAATGTGTTCAATCTCAAGGACGAGAAGGAATATGACGCTGAAGAAATGCGAGAGAAACGTGAACGAGAGGCCCGGCGTGTGTTGGGCAAGGGTGTGCGCAAGGCTCTGAAGAGGAGAGAACGGAACTTTGATTACAGCAGCGGTTCTGACGTCAATCCGTACACAGATGAGGAGGTAAGCTTTCACTCATTTGCTACAGCAGACCCAAAGCTAATGTGTATAGAGCTCCGACGACAGCGAAACCGAACGGGCCAAGGAGGAAGAACGGAAGAAGGCAGAAGAAGAAAAGAACCAAAAAGAAGCGCTCTCCAAGGGAGGAAATACTCCTTCCGGTCGACCCAAGCATACAGACGCCCTGAAGAAAGCTTCAGCTGCTGGATCACGGAAAAGGCTTGGATCACCAAACGCTTCCGACGCGAGCGGCACCGATACATCTCGAAAGAAGGCCAAAAACATGCATCTCCCTGCGTCTCAACCCCCATCGCGTCCGATCTCTCCATCCGCTTTGCAGGTAGGTACAATAATTCCCCTTTGGCCATATATACTGATTTCTCTAGGGCAAGAAACGCGTACGAAACATTGCTGGTGGTGCTGGATCTGGCAGTGATGGCGACACTGCTGCCGGATCTGGAGCTGAAATGACCGAGGGTGGTAAGATCAAGAAACTGAAACTCAACCCACCTACTTCGGTTTCTCGTGGCGGCACTCCACAAGGGTCTCGCGGCGCAAGTCCTTTGCCTCGACTCTCCGGAAGCCGTGCCAACAGCCCCGACGGCCCTAGAGGTGAGTTTCGGTCCCAATCGATATTTGATGCAAGAGATAAACTAACATCAGCAGGCCTTCGTATGTCGACTCCAGTTTCTGGCAACCAGACGTTCCCGACAGCTGGCGAAATCCACGCAGCCATCCCAGCATCTGGCATCCTCAGCAGCGACCTCTTGAAGGTTTTCCGCCCTCGTATTGGCGAATCCAAGGAGAACCACCGGAGATTCATTGCCATTGTCAAGGACGTCAGTGTTTATGGAAAAGAGGATCGGATGCTGCGACCAGGCCCCTGGAAGGGCAACTGAAGCTTGCGAAAGGTACTTCCGAGTCAAAATTAAATGTTGAATACTTTCCATGTTTTTACTTCTATTTTCTATCTACCAATCACTGTCCAGCAAACATCTTGTGACTAGGATTGCTTTAACTATGAATATCTTCTGTTAGCGGTCTATCCTGGTTGTTTCATAGTTGTCCATAATGAACGCCTACCTGATATCCTCTACATATGTACCAATGAAAATTATTACTAGCCTCGGGCCCTATCCACTTGTGATACCTCGACACAGTGACAGAAATTAAGCAATGGGATACAATCCCTAGTTAATGAACAATGTCAAATGGGAATAGAGACCTGAGGCCAGGATTTTCATTGGTAGAGGATGGGAGGACCCGTGGTTCCGCATGGTTAAGGTTGCATAACTAATAACCTTAGCTAAAAGGATCGCAGTTTCCCTTTCGGGCTGTGTTACAAACACCCATTGCCCGAATTGTGGGGGTGGGGGTGGGGGTTATGGTGGGTTAGAAGTGTGAATAGCTTCAAATGATCCCCAAGGAGGAAAAAAATTAAGGATCCAGAGGTTCTTCAACACCAGCTAGCCTAGGAAAAGCAGGAGGGTTGGGGGTTATAATATATGCCTTGACCTTTCCATTTATACTCACTTCTTTTATCGTTCCCTCCTTGGGCAGAAGTCCAGGAACGCTCTTGCCTTGGGGCAGTCCCTTGCCAGTCCCTTCCTGCCCGTTTGAGATCGAGTGGTGCCTTCCAATAGTTGTCAAGCTGCACGTCATGGCCTACTACAATCCCCAGTACTGACCAAACCCAAGAATACATTGTCTCGTGGGATATGATATGCCCACTGGAAAAGTACAAAGCTGTATATATAACATGCAACTGACTTGATGCATTTGGTTTTTACGTGTACAAAGACGCCTATTTTGCATGACTCTTTCCATTTTTAAATAATACTTCAAGTTGGGTACGGCCAATTTTCTGCTCGCAATAAAAGCCAATAGGACCAGACTCCCAAGCTGGTTGCTATGAACTGCGATATAAGTACACAGAGAAAGGGTCTGCGGAGATACGGACTATGGAGTCATGACTACATCTTCAATTTGTATACGGATAGAAATCTTTGTTATTTTTAAAAGATAATATCGCTAATCAAGAGACTATAAGCTCTAAATGAAAATTCAACAGAAAAAAGACATAGAAAATGTCATCACTCCCATTATAAACACAACGAACCAGGAGACGAAGCTGGTTCGGAATCTAAAAAACATAAATCACAATCATTACGTCTCAACCCAAGAGAACCATTGGTCTCTGGGATCTATATGCGAACATGAAAAGAAAATGCACGGTGCTCTAGAACTGTGAGACCGCAACAGCGACAGCTTGCGAGTCACTGTGACTGATGCTCACGCTGACATTCTTGACACCGGCCTGCTTGGCGGCGGCGGCGGCGGCACCATGAAGCTGGAGATATGTTAGCTTTGTCACTGGGATCATGGGATAATCATGCACTTACGTTCACCACTGGAGCGCCGTTGGCATCAACTCCGATCTCGATATCCTTCAAAGCGGCACCAGCACCCTTGCTGCTGACACCCAATGACTTGAAGACGGCTTCCTTGGCGCTCCATCGGCCTGCAAACGAGGACTGCGGGGAGGGAGCCTTGCGGCAGTAGTCCTGCTCACTCTGAGTGAAGTTGCGCTCAACGAAGGTCTCGTTCTCAATGTTGACGGAATCGATGTGCTCGACATCAACACCGATCTTGGAGTTCTCGGCGGCATTTGCCTTGGCAAGAGACTCGAGGGTCTGGCGAGTGCTTTCAGACTTCTTGGCTTCGGGACCAGTGGCGGAATACTTGAGCTCAGAGGTCTTCTTGTCAACAGACACGCGGTAGTCGGGGTTCAGGAAAACCTTGCTCTGCAGATCATCCTCGTAAGGAGCCTTGGTCTTGGCAACGAAGATGCTGTTGTTGATCAGGCCATTGTGGAAGTAGCGGTAGGCCTTCTTCTGACGAGCCTCGACCTTGGTCTTGTACGTCTCGTACTGAGCCTGGTCAAGAGTGGCAAACAGATACTTGGGGTGGATACCAATGACCTGAGCACCCTTCTGACCGAAACCGAAGGAGGTGACGGAGAACGCCTTGACACCATCGGTCTGGATGCTGCGGCTGGGGTAGACAATGTAGTCGAACTTTTCCATGACCTTGTCAACGTTGTCGGCGTTACGGTTGCCCGGAACAAGACCACTTTCCAAGACCTGCAAGCAGCCATTGAACATCCAGGCACCGGCGGCACCCTTGGGGTGACCAGTGAGGTACTTCTGGAAGATACCCATAACTGCATTGCCCTTGGTACGTCCAAGGTGCTTCATCTGTTGGCAGAGGACATCGGACTCGTTCTTGTCGTTGGCAACAGTCGAAGTACCGTGGAAGGATGCGATGTCAATGTCGTCGACTGTGAGACCCCAAGTAGCCATGGCGCCACGGAGGGGAGCAATGCGGGGATCCTGCTTCCAGAAGTTGTTACCCAGACTGTATTGGGCATCCTTCTTCTGGCGAATGGCTTCGCGCTCAATGTGCTGAGCACGTTCCTGCATGTACTCGGCCTCGTTGAAGGTCTCGTCGCTCTGAGCCTTCATGGCATCAGCCTCCTCCTGGAGGTAGAGAAGCTCGGCTTCTTGCCATTCGTTGATCTGCTTCTTGCGGAGATCCAATTGACGGCGACGGTACTTGATGTCCAATAGAGGGGACGGGAACTTGCCGGGGTTCTCACGAGCGGTGGTCAGGACACCCTGGCCAGGAGCAGGAACGGACCGTCCGATCTTGTCAGTGGCGGTCGTGGTGAGAGCAATGATACCGTGGATGGGCACACCCATGTCGAGAGCAAGCTGTGCAGTCATGATAAGTTGCATACCGCAACCCTGGGACTCCATGAAGCCAGCGCGAGTGGTAGTAGCAGGGCGAGACATCTCTTGCGGGGTGCGACCGTGGGCAAATTCCTCTTCAGCGTTGCTAGTGGCCTTCATGTTGGCGAACTCATAAGAGCCCTCCTCCTGGAAGTCATCGAATCCACCAACGAAGCAAACGCGGGCCTTGCCCTCGACAATGGTCTCATAACCAATATCCACAGACTCAACAGCCGTGGCGCAAGCACCGACAGGAGTCTTGATAGGACCAGTAGAGGACAACAGCAGCATGTTGACCCAGGCGGACATAGTGTTAATGAAAGACTCCTGCAAGATATCCTTTTGCAACGGCTTATCCATGAAGCGATCCTTGTACATACCGCGCAAAGCGTGGGTACCACCAATACCAGAGCCAATACAGTTACCAACCTCAGACAGGTGAACATACTTGTAGAACTCGTAAGGGTCGGTGATACCGGCAGAAAGCATAGACTCAGCAGTGCAAACAAGAACAAAGAGGGTCACGGGATCCACCTGCTCGATAATATCCTCAGGGATACCGTAGCGGCTAGCGTCCCAACCAGTGGGCACCTGACCGGCGACAAGACGGTCGAACTGTAGAGCCTTGGGAATGAGCATGGTGGCGCCCTTGCGAAGACGGACGGTGTACTCTCCAGACTCGGGGATCTCGAAGATCTCAACCTTGTCTCCGTGCTCACGCTTGAACTCTTCAGCTGTCTCCTTGGAAGCCTCGAAAGGCTCGAGGTCCTCCTGGATGACAATTTCCTGAAGAAGCTGCTTCTTCTTGGGATCGTATCCCTTGAACAACTCAGGCTCGATGAGACGGATACCAGTGTGCTCCAAGATGTGCTTCTCGTACTTGGGCTTGATATCCTTATCATCAACGGGCTCACCGGTCTTGGAATCAACCCACCCAGAGTAGGCCTGGCCCTTGAGGGGACCATTGTGGTGTTTGATCAGACCCATGATCCACGCCATCTCAACACAGCCCTCCAATGAGAACTTGCCCTTGGATTCCATCTCCCATCGGGTGCGGGAGTTACCATATGGACCGACTTCAGCGAAACCAGTGACAACGACCACCTTGTCCAGGTTGACCATGCCCTTGAGAGACTCATTGAGCGGCTTGACTTCCTTCTCCCAGTCGGGCAGCTTAGGGAATTCAAACTTGATGTTGGCACGGGGCTCTGCAACAACCTTCTTGTAAAGAACTCCACCGTCTTCGCCGTTAACGACCTTGTGCTCGATGGCGGTCTCCTTGATGACGGCCTGGCGGACATCGCTGGTCTCCATGATGTCGGTACGGAGCTTGGTCATCAGGCTCTGCAGGTCGGGAATGAATTGCAGACCACCGTTAAGATCAGCAAAGACTGGGTCGAGCTGGCAAATGTTGACGATGGCCGGAGACATCAGTCCAAGAAGGTTGAAAGCCATCTCCTGCTGGGAGAATGTACGAACGCCAAGCTTCTCGACACCTTCGGCGACCATGTTGTTGCCGCTCATCAGACCAGTACCACGTGTCCAGCCAATAACCGCACCGCAGATGGTGAGGTAGTGGCCCCAGTTCTCCGAGTACCAACGGTTGAAGAGAGTCTCCAAAGCAAGTTTGGACTCGGAGTACAGGCCATCATTACCAAAGGTGCCGTGGTTTGGCGACAGGGGCAAGACAACTTGAGCAGGGCGGGTTTCGTAGCCATGAGCTTGCTTATGGGTCTTGACTGAGCCCAAAAGACGGAGCAGGTTGGTCAACATGATACGGTGAGCAAGCTCAGACTTGGAATCGATAGAGTCGATCTCACGGCCATTCTCGGGGATGGCAGCGAAGGGAACGATAAAGTCCAAGTCCCAGCCAAGACCCTTCTTGGTGTCATAGATATAGTCAACCAGGGCCTCAACATCTTGCTTGCTACCTTGGTTGAACGGCACGACCACAAGCTGGGAACCACGGGCACCGTAACGGGTGTACATGGCCTGGTAGTACTCGGTTACCTCGCGCGAGAAGCGACTGGTGGTAACAACGACCTGAGCACCACCGCTGATCAAACCTTGGAGGACCTCGGCACCAATGGAACCGGCACCAGCACCGG